TTTTGAATTCAATCCTATCTCATAGAGTTCACTACTACCTCAAGGTGATGTGCTACCTTTGAAGCCTTATCACAGTCCAAATTTTGCCTGTTTCAAGAAGCGTAGTGATGTGAACCCCAATTGACTTGCTTTGAGACCTAATAACAATATTGGAAAAATAACCCAAGAAAGCCAAACTCAGGTCTATGGATGGTGAATCTAGACCCGTTGAGAACTTGTTTCAAGAACCTAGATTATCTTAAAATCTAGACACGTTGAAGAACCCTTCTCAAGAACCCAAATTACAAGGAGGAACGCCACAAAGGTTGTGATTTACCTTTGATAAGTTCAAAAATTTATTCAAGAACAAGAGGAGTAAACTCAACTCAACTCACAATTAAAACTCAATATATTGTCTCCCCCCCTTAAAGTGGCTGGTTACATCCTTTAAATACCCTTCCCAAAACATGATAAAAACCTAGACTAAAATTTGTGACCCTTTCTCTCAAAAATGCCCTTGAGTGAATAGTGCCGTGGTACTATAGCATGAATAGTGCCATGCTACAGTACTTCTAAAACCCTAGTTCAAATAAAATAATAACTTTCCTAATAAGCCCTTGGCCAAAATACAAGGCCTTCCCAAAACCCTAATTCATAAGAAATAAGACATATGTGGGCCAAACATCCTCAAGCCCACTTATTCTAACCTAATAATAAAAATCCTTTAAACAAATTGAAAACCTTTACAACAAAAGGCCCTATCTCTAAGTCATGTCTTCATGTCTTCCACATCTTGGATCAAGTGGATCAAAATTGGTTCTCTTTCTTTCGAGCCCATCTTGGGTGTTTGGGCCCTTGCTACCTTCATCCTAGGTGGATTGTACCAATCCTTGCAATGCTTCTTTGAGCTTCTTAGCTCTTGATCTTGTAATTGGCCCATCTGAAACTTGCAAAGGATCTTTAAGAGTAGGCCCACCTTGGTTCTCATCATTCAGCTTCATAAAATCACGACCATGGAAAAGTTGAAAATTACAATGGACTCCACGAAATTAGCCATTTACAAAATGTGATCTAACAAACAACATCACATAGCTTAGTATAAAAAACACAAAATATTTCTTTCTCTTGCATTCTCAACAACTCGAATTGTGAAGTGTACCTTTGGAGATAGAGAATCTTGACCATTGTAGTTTTGTCATGTGAAACCACAAGAATATTCCATGGCTCCTTTGAAGTCTTGCTACTAGCGATTCTTTGGAACTCGTTTGGTGTCACAAAATCTTCCTCATCTTATTGAAAAGAAGTGTCCTCACTTGTTGTTGACTCCGTAATACTTTCTCTCCTTTTAGCCTATATTACATTTCTCCTCTGTATGCACAAATTTTTCCTCTTCCAGTTAGGATGTTCTCAAGTCACGTGTCCAAACCCTTGACACTTGTAGCATTAAGGTCCTTGCCCCTCTTCCCTTGGTAAATTTAGGTCTATTCATCTTGCCTTTTGACCTTAATGACACAACTCTAGCATTGATATACTTCCTAAACTTTCTCTCAAAGTAGGCTTGGTCCATTTTTCCCAAAAAATGTGACTTGGATTCATCTTTCCCTTCTTGTATTGAGCTTAATATCATGCCCCTTGATTTTATTGGGTAGTTGGAGATTCATCTCAAAAGTCAAAATAGACCTAACTAGGTCCTCTATTGGCACCGTCTCCAAATTGAAACCTCTCTAGCAGAGATCTCAAGATTTTTCATTTGATCACAGATTCATCATATTCAGTACCCAATGCAATGGATGAATTTACAATATCATTTAATCTAGCATAGAAATTGCTAAATATTTCATTGTCTCGCATCCACAAAGTCTTGAACTAAGAAGTGTACCTTTTGGAGACAAGACATCTTTACTAAAGGTGTTCCTTCATAGAAAAATTTTAAGATTTCTCATGCCTCTTTGGAAGTCTCGAATTGGAGATCGTTCAAAACTCATTAGGTGTCACAGCATTGAATATTGCATTCAAACCTTTCGAGTTCCACCCTACAAATTTGTACTTGGTTTTTGATCATGTCTTTAGGGATTTTGGTTCAATGAACAACTCACAACCCTACCACCGGGGTAGTAGCCGTCAGACGGGTCTATCCATCTAGTTCATAAAACCACACGCTCATCAATCAATTTTAGAAACGCCCTCATTCCAGCTTTCCAATATTCGTAGTTTGTACCATCAAAGAGCAGTAGTTGTGCTACTGAGTCTCCTTACCTTTACCTAGTTCAACTTGGGTAGATATCTCCATGGATTTTGTGTTAGGTTTACCTAGGACAAAATAGTGACGGGATTCTGTGTTTGCTGTTGTTGACAGATTTTCAAAGATGGCACATTTCATTACGTGTCATAAGGCCGATGATGCTAGCAATGTAGCTAATTTGTTCTTTAGAGAGGTGGTGCGTTTACATGGAGTGCCTCGAAGCATTGTGTTTCATCGTGATGCTAAGTTTTTGAGCTATTTCTAGAAGGCGTTGTGGGGTAAGCTTGGTACTAAATTACTCTTTTCTACTAGTTTCCATCCATAAACAGATGGCCAAATCGTGGTAACTAATCGTATTCTTTCTACTTTATTGCGTTCTATCATTGGTAAGAATTTAAAAACTTGGGAGGATAGTTTGCCTCATGTCGAATTTGCTTATAATTGTAGTGTGCTTTCTGCTACTAATTATTCCCCTTTTGAAATTGTCTATGGTTTTTAATCCTTTAACTCCATTAGATTTGATGCCTTTACCTGTTGATGAGTGTGCTAATTTAGATGGAGAACGAAAGGCTGAATTGGTGAAGCAAAATCATGAGAAAGTTAGATTGCACATTGAGAGGCAAACAAAGCAATATGCTACTCAAGCTAATAAAGGGCGTAAGAGGGTGGTCTTTGAGCCTGGAGATTGGGTTTGGGTGCATATACGAAAGGAGCTCTTTACCGCACACAGGCGTTCTAAGTTGCAGCCTAGAGGAGATAGGCCTTTTTAAGTGGTGTCGCAAATAAATGATAATGCTTACAAACTAGATCTTCCTGGTGAGTATAGTGTTATTTCTACATTTAGTGTCACTGATCTTTCTCCTTTTATTGTAGATGACGAAGATTCGAGGACGAATCCTTTTGAAGAGAGGGGGAATGATGCAATGCAATCTGATCCGTTGAGCATAAATGGAGGTCCTATGACTCGGGCAAGAGCAAAAAGGATGAAGGAAGCATTGAACGGGCTGATTCAAGACATCTGGGTTGATTGTGCAAGTTCAAGTATGGAGCATGAACCACTTGGGCAACAAAGATTCATCAACATGATTCAAGTTCAGGAAGATTCCGGCAAAGGCTAAGCTTAAAATTGGCATGTTTAAAATTGGTCTGATTGTAAGACTTTCCATATCTATTTAGGCGTGTGAGTTATTCTTTTTAGGAAAGTGATGAGAACCAAGGTGGGCCTACTCTTAAAGATCCTTTGCTTGTCTAGATGGGCCAATTACAAGATCAAGAGCCAAGAAAATCAAGGAAGCAATACAAGGATTGGTGCAATCCACTTGGGATGAAGCTAGCAAGAGCCTAACACTCAAGATGGGCTTGAAAGAAGGAGAACATGTTAGATAGGGCCTGTTGTTGTTAAGGCCTTTAATTTGTTTAAAAGATTTTTATTATTAGTCTAGATTCTCCATCCATAGACCTGAGTTTGGCTTTCTTGGGTTGTATTTCTAATATTGTTGTTGGGTCTCAAAGCAAGTCGATTTGGGTTCACATAATTTGGTATCAGAGCAAATGATGAAGATATATGGGCTGATTGTGCAAGTTCAAGCATGAAGAGTGTGTTTGGAGGCTTTTCTACCTCGGCATGTGTGGGCTTTAAGGGGAAAAGGCCTCAAGTTTATTTTAATGTAATTCAATTCCAACAAACCTGATTAAGTGGCTGTATGGGCTGATTTAGGTTATTTAGGGATTTTGGGCTGATTACTTGTTTTAAAGCCAACTTAAGTTCTTCCTATTTGGATTAAGATTTATTTTAAGGCTTTATATACATACATAAGACCTGGTAAAAAGGACAAAATATAATTTTTATGAGTTTTGCGAGGTTTCTACCTTATTGTTCTTCCGAGAACTATTTCAAGAACTTACCAAGAATTAATCTTTGTTGTGGCATTCATTGACTTATCGCTCAAATCTTGAGTGTGGTGTCTTTCTCTTAAACTTTTAACCATGGGCTTTTGTTTCTTGAAAACATTGGGTCAAGGGTTCTTGGTTCTTATAATCTAGTTTGTGAACTTTCTTGGGGAGACTTCAATCAATTTGCCCGTACGTTCTTGAATTTGTTTAAGGGTTCGCATCAGAAAGAAAGACTTTCCTAGTTTAATTAGGCATGTGATCAGCATATTAAAGGGTTGATTGTGTTTTTCTCTTTTAGGAAAGTAAGAGCTATTTCTTTGCCAGCAAGTAAGAGATATTTCTTAAATAGGATAAGCTAATTTAGGAAGTTTCTTTTTATTAACCAGCATATAAATAGGTGTTCAAAGCATTGTAACAAACAAAATATTTTTATGAGTATTGTGAGGTTTCTACCTTATTGTTCTTCCAAGAACTATTTCAAGAACTTATCAAGAATTAATCTTTCTTGAGGCGTTCATCGACTTATCGCTCAATCTTGAGTGAGGCGTCTTTCTCTTGGACATTGGGTCTAGGGTTCTTGGTTCTTATAATCTGATTTATGAACTTTCTTGGGGAGTCTTCAATCAATTTGCTCATGGGTTCTTGAATTTGTTTATGGGTTTGCACAAATCTGGCTAAACCTTGAAGGTGTCCAATATTTAACTGGGATATCGTGCAATTTGACCAAAATTAGAACTTTGGATGAGTTGGTTTCGGTAAGCTTCATCCTTGGTTCCCACTTTCTCAAAATAATAGGTTGGCCAGAGATGTGCCAAGGGCCTCTCTCCAACACTTCATTCCTATTGCCAGAGCTAGGGAACTTTAAAAAAAAAAGAAGCCTTGGTCATTAGTATAAACATCTTGGAGACCCTTTTGGCGTGCCACATTTTTTATGCATTTGCTTTGACATAACTATAGGGGGATTTCCTACAGCCATAGCTCTTGGCAACTTTCTTAGAGGCTGTGCTTTCCTTAGACTGCCCGTTTGACCTCCTTGTCTCCCTCTACCTCTAATGTTTGCTCTACCACATCCATTGAAGCCACATTGAGCTCGAGTTTTGTGAGTAGATTGCAAGTAGTCTCTAATTTCACTCCTCTGATATAGCTTTAAGAGATTATTTAGAAGCTCATTTTCCTCAGCCAACCTTGAGGGTTCCTGAGATACGTGATCAGAGCTACCCGTTGTTGAGTTTGGTGTAGTGCCAACATTAGTATTAAGGTTTCCTATCATCTGAGTTTTCTTAGCCACATTCTTACCAGTAACATTAACTAGTTCAGGGTTAATGGTAGCTTCTTTGACCCTGTCCTCACTTAAAGCTTCCCAAGAGGTAGGGAGCTCGTCATTACTAGCACTTTCCCTGGAATTTAATATAGGATTAGCTATCTTGATACATGAGTGAACCTCATTAATGACATTTTCAACCCCATTCTTGCTAGAAGCCATTCGCCATAAAGGTCAGAGATAGAAAAAGAAAAAAAAACAGTGTTTGAAGAGGATAAGATATAAATGCCTAGAAGAGGATATCCATATGAAAGGGAAAGGAGTAGATCAAGGATGAGATCAATATGATTTAGATTAAGACAAATTAGTGGAAAGATAGATGAGATCCAAAAAACTACAATAAGAATCAATAAGAAAATCTAGGGAGAGGGAGGATTCTAGAGAGAGAAGCTCTCAATCCCATACTCTTGGTCATATGCTTTATGTTGTATATTTCATTTTGGGATTATAGTTATATGTCATGTTTGTCCTTTCTTATACAAATACCTATCCTTGTTCATGCAAGGAGCTATGATATGCATAGCTCTTTTATACCATGTTTCTCTACTATACTTCTTATGTTTTTGAGTTTGGCACTTCATGACAAAAGGGGAAAGAATTGGGTGACAATTCTTGAGGCTAGCTAGGGAATATTTGGATGGGAATTTAGAATGGGGAATTTTTTGAAAATACTTATAGGGAGACCATATACAAACTTGGCATGAAATCATTTCATATTTTTTTTTTGTTATTTTACACTTGTTATTTGCTTGTGTGAACATCAACTAAGGGGAGAACTTGTTTTGATTCGTATTTTTAAATATGTAAGTTCTCAAGCATCATTGGGCTGGCATTTCTTATATATGTTTTTATTGCTAACATGAAAATGCCCCGTTGCTTCTCTCTGTGACTTGTACTTGAGTGTTGAGATTATTTTACAACTAAGGTAATGACCTAGAGACCAAAGATCCTTGGTTTATTTTAGACTTTCGCCTATTAGGTTAATGGAATTGGATTTAGGATTATTCATGAATGACTCTTAAGTTTTTTATGAAAAAGATTTTCTAAACATGAAAATGCATTTTTAGAACATAGATTGAATCATGTATTGAATCCTATTTGATAAACACTCAATAGTGCTTAATAGGTCATGTTCTGCTAGGTTCCTAGCATAAAAACTAGTAGGGACTACCCTCTAGGAATTGTTCCACACATAAATGACCAAGTGTGGAGCTGTACGAAGCTTATAGGTAGGTCTAGTTAGTCCAAGTCTAGGAATTGTTCACCACTTTAAGGCTCACTAGCTAGGATGAAAAAAAGGCTCCTTCTACTCCTGAGATTAAATTTGATTCAAAACTTCAAGATAGAAGAGAGTTAATCCTCCAACCATTCCGCGAGCTAACTTGAGAGATTGGAAGGGAAAACGAGTGTGGGTGAGAAGTGAGGATGTTGAGAAGCTCACCACCTCAACTAAGGTGGAAATCCCAAGGGCTACCATAGTGGTTGAGTCACTTAGGAATAGGTGAAGTGAGAGTGTGGACCGAGGTGCATAGACATATATTGCATCATATATCCTAGCTTCAGGCATTGTTTCTTCAATTAAGTGCATTATTGTGAGTCATATTAGGGGATAGAGAACTTAGTGGATATAAGTCTTAGTGCTTGATCCTTAAACCAAGTCTTTGTCACCCGAGCGTGCTAACTTGATGTTAGTCTTTCTGAAAAATCATAAAACCAAGTGCACGCTTAGCCAATCACCTTCATTTTATGGGAGTCATGCTACATTGAGTGATAAATAACTTTGCATGACTCCAAGTGTTGATGATAGACACATAGCTAAAGGGTAGGAAAACCCTATTCTCTTAAAAGATGTCAATGAGCCAATTGTGAGAAAAGTTCCCAATAAAGCTAACTATAAAAAGGTGAGGCATAAAGTAATGGCTAGTGGCAATTGCATTTGAATTGTTTTTATTTTGGTCAAACCATTTAAATTTTTAACAGTACTTTATGTTCAATGTTTATGCTCAATGTTTATGCTTACATGTAAAGCTCAAAGAGCTATGTATACCCATCTTAAAAGTATACTTTAGAAAATACAGAATTCACAATCATGCTAATTGAGGCCATGCATATAGGACACTCACTACCAGGTTATGTATTCACTTAGACGATGCATTAGGAATTCATGTAGACCCTTTTATTAATGATTTGATTTAGTCGGATACCTAATTGTGTCGGAGTTTGGTTTCACATATGTTACACATGAGTTGATCGAAGATAAACAAAATTTGAACACGTGTGAGTGAAACCGAACTAACAGAAATGAAATTGCTCCAGGACAAATGAAAATTGAGTTCTAAATGCCTTATTATGCCTTAGAGTAATGTGTGAAGATAAAGAAATAAGGATGGATTTGCTATTTGATGAATAAGTGTGATTTTCATAATCAATAACTTTGTGCATTTAATGTTCAATTGTGTAAATTGCATTTCATTTTTAGATCCTAAGTTCATCCATGCATGATTTGGAGGCTTAAGGGGTTGAATGAAGGTGGAAAGGAGTAGTATTAGTGGTCCTATGGAATGCTGGTTTGTGAAATTGGCCTAGGGAGTAGTCGAGCGACCTTGAGTTTACTCGAGCAGCCATTACAGAAAGACATACTTCAAACTCATTCCACTGCACTTCTAATACCTCAAGCTTCAAAAATCATTTCTCATTTCAAACTCTACACTTCTAAGTCGAGCCTCACCAAATTTCTCACCTACCTAAGGCCACCCCACTCTACCAAACCTTCATTGTAGTGATTTTATGTGTTCTTCATCTTTAGATATCTCATATACACTTCATTATGCACCTATTAATCGATTGTTTTGGGTAATGGGGCCAAGGGCTGAAAAAAGAGCACGGGTATGGGTGTTCAAGGAGAGGAATCGCTTCTACGATCCACATTACAAAGATTTTGAATAGGAGGCAGCAAGCTTTGAGAATTGTAATGGTGGAATAAGTAGTGAACTTCACTGGGTTAAGGAATAATTCTAATCCTTTAAAATTAGAGACTAGGGGTGGCACACAACTCTTTGTGGCCCTTGAGCTTGCCAATGAGAACAATACTGAAAGAGTTTTATGAACACATTAGGAAGACGTTTGTTGATAGTAAGTACTACACTACTTATGTTCGTGTGATTTTGTTTGATATCTCTACTTATTTGATTCCTACTACCCTGCTTCTACCACGGGTAGCTAAAGATGCCTATTTACATCGGCCAGTTAGTGTTGTACTTAGGCTTTCCGAAGTCGCATTCAAGTTTGTATGGTGCTCCTTATCCCGATGGTTGGAACCACCAAAATTTCTATCAAAATTCCTTGACAAAGGGGTATTGGATGTTGAATCTAATTATCAATTACAACATTGGCCCAAAGACACATGTATACCTTCCTAGTATCGGGAGCCTACTTGTTCCATGCTATGGGGGACAAGTATGGGATATTGACTTGCCATTAGTGATGAGGGTAGAGTGACAGATGGATTGCCTTTATGTGCACTTGTCACATATATTGGCTTGAGTGAGGGGGTTGTTGGTTTGGACAATGATCAGAAGAAGACACCTAAGAAACCTCTAAGTAAGGAGTTTATGAGGTATAGTGAGACTCATGCTACCTATGTTTTTGATCACATGGAGGTAAAGGCTAAAGGAGAGGAGATGAAGGCTGAGACATTTACACTGTCTATTGAGCACAAACCATGTAGACAGAGAGCAACACAACCTCTACACACATGTGCTAGTACTTGACGTGCACCACCACTAGGGGTTGATTTTGATTCCTCTTTTGCCTACTAGACTTGGTATGTTCTTATTAACCTTTAGGCCAAACCTATACCACAAGAGTCTCCTAGAATTTGTCGTGTGCCATCTAAACAAATTGAAATGATGCACTAGTCATTATTTGCTATTAGATGAAACTTCTCCTTCTTTGTATTTTTTTGTTAATGACACTTTACACCCTTAATTTCTCATATTATCCTATGATGCGAACCCTTAAACGAATTCAAGAACCCATGGGCTAATTGATTGAAGACTCCCTAAGAAAGTTCACAAATCAGATTATAAGAACCAAGAACCCCAGACCCAATGTTTGTCAGAAACAAGAACCCAAGGTTAAAAGTTCAAGAGAAAGACGCCACACTCAAGATTGAGCGATAAGTTGTTGAATGCCACAAGAAAGATTAATTCTTGATAAGTTCTTGAAATAGTTCTTGGAAGAACAATTAGGTAGAAACCTCACAATACTCGTACAAATATTTTATCTTTTACAATGCTTTGAACGCCTATTTATAGGCTGGTTATTACAAAGAAAACTTCCTAAAATAGTTTATGCTATTTAAGAAATATCTCTTACTTGTGGGTGAAGAAATATCTCTTACTTGTGGGTGAAGAAATATCTCTTACTTTCCTAAACTATTACTTTCCTAAAAGAGAAAAACACAATCAACCCTTTAATATGCTGATCACATGCCTTATTAAACTACGAAAGTCTTTCTTTCCTAAAAAGAATAACTTGCACGCCTAAATAGATAAGGAAAGTCTTACAATCAGACCAATTTTAAACATGCCAATTTTAAGGTTAGCTTTTGCCAGAATCTTCTAGAACTTGAATCATGTTGATGGATCTTTGTTGCACAAGTGGATCATGCTCCATGCTTGAACTTGCACAATCAGCCCATATGTCTTGAATCAGCCCGTTCAATGCTTCCTTCACCCTTTTTGCTCTTGCCCAAGTCATAGGACTATTTTTGCTCAACAGATCAGATAGCATTGCATCATCCTATTTCTATACGCAATTGTTTACACAATAGTCAATTTTAAGTGTTGGTAGTCAACACTTTTAGGATGGAGCTTAGTTCTACCTTTTTGTCTAATTGAGGGTGCAAGTGAGAATTTCACTCTTTTAGGGTGGAAATTGAAAATACAAAAAAATTTTGGGGTGCAAAGTGCCATTTGCCTCTTTTTGGATTTGTTATAAATGATGTGACACCATTTGTGTCTTTTCTTTCTTTTTTCTTCGCACTGTCGATGGTAATTCCAGTGCTCGAAAATATAAAAATTTAGTGTCGATGAAGAAACAGATGAAGCCTTGAAACTTCTCAAGTTTTCAATATTTTGCTACTTATTTTAACATAATGA